TATTAGTATATTCTCTTTAAGAAAACAGTAAAAATGAATAATGATCCGTTAAAAAAAGTTGGAGTCATCAGTAGTTTAGGATCTCGAGGTGAGTAAATTGCTAAAAGGATCGTGCCCAAAAGTATTGTAAGCAGAATAACTATCATAACAATCCGAAGAAAGAACATATAACGAGCCTATTATAGATTTCAAATAACAAACAAAATCTGTTAATAAACTTTAAAGAATGCATCGTCTTTACAGGGTCGTGATCTAACCTCAACTGGATTTTCTTGGGATGGCACTTCCTCTCCAGTTAGTAGCCCCTCCTTCTCCTGTTCTACGTATAAAGTATCTGTTTGATACTCTTCAACGGCAATTTCCGGATCATTATTCATTTTTACTGTTTTCTTAAAGAGAATATACTAATACGTATGAAATTATGAAACACCATTTATGATAGCCGCAATAGTGAATGAAAGAAACGTTCTTTGTGTAAGAAAAGGGGGATTGCTTATCAAATCTTGATAAAAAAAAAAATTAATTAATGAATGTGATATTGTGATATGATTACATTTGACGTTTTCTGTTACTATTTATAAACATCTATCATCTGACTGTACATTCTTAAAAAGCGAAAGCGCAGCTTAAACGATTAAGACGGAAAAACGGAAATATTAGACTAGGATCGTATGATACTTATATTTGGTGTATAAGGAATTCTAAAAAGCACGAATGACGGAATTATGTTTCAAAAAATTATTCCGAAAAAAAATTATAAAAGACACCTCATTTCTCAGCAGTTGCTATTAAGTTCCAAGACGAAAATTCAAAATGTCCAGACAAGTACATGTACACAACAGGAACATTCATAATATCACTTTACCTCTGGTTCAAGCTCCCATAAGACCACGGCTACGGCGTAGACGTGTTAGGCCGGTACCACCTACTCCACCTATGCCTCCTATAGCGCATAATGAATTTTCTGATTTTCTATACAACGGTCGTCCCAGCTTTCTTTAAGAAGGCTTGGCCGTCCAGTTGTAACGAACATTGTAAATTGGCAAACTGAATAACAAACGCAAATTGGCAAACTGAATAACAAACGCAAATTGGCAAAACGAATAACAAACGCAAAGTGGCAAAACGAATAACAAACGGAACTTGGCATTATTATAATGTAAAAAAATTTA